ACTCCTGGAATCTCTCAAGTATTTCTCAACAGGTCTTAAAACTAGATGAATCAAGTCTATTGGCAATTAACTTGGAGGCATCTGCACTTCATTTGGAAAAAAAAAGTGAGGCTTTTCCAATTAAAGAAAGTTTTTTAAAAGTACACCACAGAAATACCCATTTATGAATTTGTTAGAGATAAACTTATGATAGGCATGGTTTAACGTGAAAAACAAAAGTTCAATGAAACATGCATTTGTATTGGCCAATGTATATTTTAACTGCTAAGGACCAGATGCAGTGATAAATGAAGTTGCCTTCAAATGGACAGAAGATCAGGCCATATAAGAGCCTTATTGAGAAAGATGCTTGAAAGAAAGTGAAAAAATGCCCCTTCAGCCTCAAATGACGTACGGTTACCTCGTGGCTCAGTAGAAGGGAAGGAATAACATCACTGACAAGCATTTTATTTTGCCATGACCAAGTATAAACACCAAGCAAACATGACAATGGACCAGAACGTAATGGCCTCCCGCTGCTCCACAAGCCATTTTTTAGGGGATCTTTCAAGAGTGTCTGAGAAATATACTGTCATCAGCTTTGTCTCAAAAGATCTACCAGCAATGGTGCTCGATTCTGCTCAGATACACAGTCTAAAACCAATTTACACGTGGCCTGCCACATCCTGGCAGCCTTTCGTAAAAGTCAGCATAGGTCCTGGTAATCGTTGCCATGAAGTGGCACCACTAAACAGAAAAGGACCAGACAACGGGACCAGAGAAACTCACCCTTCCCAAATCCGAACCAGCTGCGAATACCATTTCTCTTGCAAACAAATCTGTGTCAGGCCAAACCTGGCCTTACCAACAGCTACAAAACAGACATGACCATGAGGCTTATGTCACAGGCTGGCTCAGTTACTGTGGCACGCTGAGGCATTGACAACTCACTTCACATCTGTTTCTTTATTTGTTAAACGGAGATAACACCAACTTCACCGATGCGGTGCTGTCATTAAATGTTAGTTCCCTCTTCCTCACCTGTCTTCCCTTGGCCACCACCCGGATGCTGCCACCTGTATTGACTTCAGAAACATGTAAACCCATCTTCCTGAATAGTAGCATCCATCAAAAGGCAATGGGTAGATTTGTGCTTTTTTTGGTACCCCTGCTAACTCTGCCTTTGGTGTGACTCTGCATAGAAATGCATGCAAGAAGTCCTTAAACCATCTAAATTACTATAAAAGTGCTATGTGTTCAGTGCCAATATTAGCAGGTGTGGGATTTTTCTTTTTTATAACTTTAAAACAAAGCTATTCTGAAACATTTCAAATGTTGAGCTGGGAAAAAAGAATCCAAAATGTCAAAACTTGACAGCTTGCTACCTGTGGGTGGAAGCGGAAAACAACCTGAGGTGAGCTTTATATAAAGTAAGTGGGGCATTGCAGCATAAGGTCTATTTAGGGAGAGGAGAAGGTAGCGTTCTGGTGCAGCTGTGAGCACATGCAGGTGTTTCCTAGGATGGGGAAAGAGGAGGAAGAAAAGGGGACCAAACCCCTTCTTGAAAACTGGCACAAAAAAAAAGAAGAGATACTAAAACCCAGTGTTGGCTAGATGAAGGCAAATCCAAATTTTCCGTTACTCATAAGTTTTACTAAGTAGCCTTTCACTAGGGTATTCATGCACATTTACTCCATTTAGCAGGCATCCCACGCTCTTTGTCATCTGCCTCCTCCTTGTCTTTGATCTACTCCATCTCCTCTGCTCTCAGGCTTTTCTGCCCATGCTTTTTGCTGATGATGCTGATCCTTCACATCAGTTTGTCTCCAGTTCTCCAGTGCTCCCCTGCACGAGCGATCTGAGGCTTCACAGCACTAAGGACAAAATGTCAATATTTAGCCACCCGAAGGAGGCAGGGCAACGCACAGCTGCTCTTAAAAAGATTAAGAAAAGCAGAGGAGCCTTAGAGTGTCCTGCTGGTGAAGTGCAACAGAGAAACTCCTGTTTCTGGAAGGGTTTTCCCTTTCCCTCTAGCAAAAGTAGCTGGCAGCAGCATGCAAGTTCCTCCCTCTCTCCGAGGCTGCAGCCTCCCAAGGCCCTGACTCACCAGGCAGGCACCTGCCCAGGGCACCAGGCTGTCAACAGCAGCAAAAGAGCCTTTTTCGCCCATGTCTAGCCCTGGCCTTGCTGTCACACATAGCTACAGCGGAAAATCTTGTTCTCCCAAATGCCTTTGGATCACCTTCTACTTGTAGAATAGCCAAGACAGCAGAGAAGCTACCTGTGCTTCTATTCAACACTGCACACTGACTTCTCCTTTTAAGGTTGCATGAAGTTTAATCTCATTTAGACCGCATTGTGTGCACCAAAATAACAAACAGGTGGATCATGGTGATATTTGTTTTGCACGTTTTGTAACTCGGTTACCTCACACACTTCTCAGAAGTACAAGACCCAACAAAGAATTTGCTTGGAAGAAAAGAAGGATGAATCATGCTATTTCTGCATAAACATGTGCTGACAACACAGAAGCAAACGTGAAAGTATCTTCTGTTTTCAGAGTTTGTTGCATGTTGTCTTAGGCATCTCAAACCCTGTTCCAGCATATAACACACAAGATACTTTACAGAAGCTCCTGCTTGATGTAAATAGCAGCAATGCCATTTATTGCTCACCTGGCTCTCCTCAGGACTCTGATATGCTTAGGAGGAGGGGGGAAAAGAGGAAACACAAATCCAAATGAAATTGGCATGCGGGGAAGAAGCTGACACCAGCTTTTTTACTGACCCCCAAAACCACATTTTCCGTAACACCACTGCACTGCTTCCTTTCTGTCAGCACTGCCACCAGGGCAATCTTACCGCACCCGGTAAAACCTCACCTCCATGCCTGCTTACAGGCCACAGACTCGCACCGAGTCTTCCAAAGGGCCCTTAGTATTTCCAGTATTACTGCTAGTCCTGCAGTCCTCACTGCTGCTTCCAAAGAGTAATTTACACTGACATTCTTACCCCAATATCTGTCTTTAAGGGCAGTGTAAAAGTATCTAGAAGCCCTGGCATGGGTGGGAGGAAATTTAGGGCATTGCATACCAGTGCAGCTACTGCAGGCTGTGCCCTGAGCAATCCCACATGCAAACTCTGGCACCGAGGCACTCCGTGGCAAGGTGCTTCTGACACTGCTCTTTGGAGGCTGCCCAAAGGTGCAACTCATATGGCCTAGCAGAAACCGCTCTGGATTCAAGACAGAAAGCCATATAGGCAGGTTAAAAGTTTTCAGAGCCCCCTTTGTTATAGGATGCAAGATTTACGTGTCTCCGTTGCATCAGCCCAGACACGTCCATTGGGAGGATATTCAGACACAAGCAACAACAGCCAGACAAAGGGTAGACAAAGAGCATAAGCACAATCGAGACATATTACGCCCACTGAAATAAATAGAGCATGTCTAAAGGCTTCTCCCAGCTGCATTTGGCACTCACTCATGGCTGGCTCTTGGGTTAGACAAAGTCAGCGAAGTTTGCACAGATGCCCAACAACTGTGACTGTACTTTCCACTTCACTGTCATGGCACTGGAGAGCCAAGCTCAGGGCAGGTGCTCTTCCCGCTACCGTCCAGGTAAGGGGCGTACATATGGGGTGGCAGCTGCGGCACCAAGAGGGGACAGGTGGGGACAGCAACATCCCCAGCCATCACCGACCTCTCCCTTTAGCCAGTGCCCTGGAGGAGTGGAGAGCCCAGCCCTGCCTGGCAGAGTCCTCAGCAGTCCTCCCTTCCCCAGGGGCGAAAGGGTTACTCTGCCCAGCTAACTCTGAGGTTCATGTGCCATTAATGATACTAAATCAGAGTCACGGAATTCTTGGAGAAGAGTGGCACCACTGTAAAGGTATCAACTTCTCCAAATCTTTTTAATTTAAAGCAATATCTTTATAATACCTACCTGTTAGGTATGTTCTCTTAAAACTTTTGTTACAAACTAAAATATGGAAATGTTTTGTGGAAGTCGGTATGGAAAACAAACTTCATGAAGTTCAGGCTGAAAATGCATATTAATCAATCTTACGCTAGTTTCTTGAAACACACAGCTAGATTCTCATCCCATTTAAGCTACCCTGAATTCAGAATAAGTGAAGATACTCTCACTCAAGCTGGCTTCACAAATATCAGATTTCTTCCATGAGTTCAAACAATCAAGGGCAAAACTTAAAGACACTTGCTTAATGCTTATCCACAATTTGTTGTTAAAAAATAAAACCAAGTATATTTATTCTGGAGTTAAAAAAAAACAACATCCCTCCAGTGGCTTCTGACCTGTTTCCAAAATCCATTAGTCAGGCACATCAAAGTCACTATCGCCAGAGAAATTGGGTCCATTTTCCCATGCTGACAAAGAGACCAGAAGAGTACTAATATCTGTAGGGCTTTTATCAGCTCACTCAACCTCCGCCTTTATCACTTCCACCAGCTTTATTTGATCTGAATTTGCAGGACAGAAAGTCCTCACTGACAACTACAGGCAATGCATGACCTAGGCAACATCTCTGCAGCGTAGACTGCAGATGCAAAGGTTCAATAGGCCAAGGTTCATTTCTGTTTAGGTTTTCTGGTTGCTCTTAAAAATTATATACAAGACTTAAAAGGTCTCAGAAAGTTATAACGGGGAAACAAAATTTCACAGTTATCCTATGATGTTTCAAGATTTTGCTCCCGAAAAAATGAATACTGAGATTGCATATAGACTGTGTATATTCTCTGACAGTCTTAAAATGCACCTTTTTTTCTGTTTACTACTGGGATTTATTATTATTTCTCTGTTAGAGTTACAAATTATCAAAAGCAGAATAACAGAGAAGTCTTTTAAATAAGGCAAGACAGATTAACACCAAATGCTCTTGAGGAAAGTATCCTCTATCAGCATGGATAACACACGCTTCTTGTGTGGGACAAGCAACCCCATCTCACAGTTCTGTCTATCTCCCATTACCCTGCTCCTGTAACGTAAAGGAGCTGCTAGGTCTTACCGATGTACAAAAGATGCAGCTGCATTCCTGAAGAGTGGTCATCTTATCCAAGGAATATTCACAGAGACATAGCTTGCAAGTGAGCAGGGGCTCCAGAGCTAACTCTCCAGCTTCTGACTCATCAGCTGTCATGGTGTCAGGACAAGCCTTCCCAGCAGAGCCCATCTGCTCATTAATGGTCCGGTCAGCCTGAAAAGAGAAATCAACAGCTGAAACATCACACAAACCATGTACTCACTTCTCATTGACCTGAGAATTTACAGCTCAGATCCATAAGAGCATGTGCTCACCCAAATGTACTACTTTGGCATCTTGGTGCCAGTCTCACGCTTCAGGCCATTCAAAATACACCAAGAAGGTGCCTGAGAGCCCACCTCCCCAAAAGGCCTGAACTTGGTCGGGTTCTCAGAGAATATTCACCTTGCTGGCACAAAGCACCTCAGTCAGGCTACTTATCATCAAATTAAAAAAACCAAACCAAACCAAACCAAAAAACCCCAGCACTCACACAGATGAGACATTACCTATGTTATATGCAACAGTATAGTGGTCAGAGCCCTCACCAAAGTCCAAGGAGCAGGGATCTGACTTGGGACAATATATTCTTAATTAAAAAAATAAACTGTGTTCATATGTACAAATATATATCACTTTGCCCTTTTGAATGAGTTTTGGTCATACCCCTCCCATCTCTATGAATCTTTCAGTCTTCGTTGCACCTGCACAGTTTCAATGTGTGCCTCCACTCCCACTTTCCATTCCGGCTGGTGGCTCGGGAGCTCTCCTGGGCAGTGGAAGGCAACAGCAAGCACAGGTTCCCATGTCCTAGGCAAGCACTTCAAACATTTAGCCTGTAACATAAGTGGTGGGTACCATGAACTCCACCTTCTCCGTGAGCTGTCACTGAGAGAGCGAGCTGGCAGTCCATCGTAAGAGGGCTGGCAAATGTATCTAAACCTAGGAGAGGGTTCCAGATTGCATGTCCTACTTCATACAGGGCTGGAGCTTAAATCCAAGAAAGTTAGAGTATTTGACATGCTGTCCTCTTTTCTGCGTTCCCTTGACTATGACAGACAGCTGCCTGCTCAGGTCCACAGCTTTTGTGCATCCCACTCCCTGGCATCCAGCTCTTCCATCTATTTTATAGGGCTCTTAGCATCTAACTGAGGTTTGTGAACCATGAACTAAGTGCAGTAGCACTTTGACGTGGAGATGCTCAGAATAGCTGTGTTTCCATCACACATTATGTCACAGCAGTGCTTGGGGAAGAAATTTCTGTCCTTTAAGAAGCAACAAATGAAAATATGCTCACAAGTAATGTTTTCTGACCTAAGCATTTGAAAACACTGTACGATACCATAAAAAATTTCAAGACCCTCATTCTTACACAGTAACACTGAAAGAGAAATTAAAGAGAATATCCTCATGCTTAAGCTGAAACAATGGAAAGCAAATTTTCAGATTTTATTTGCCTCAAAATAGACAGTGGGGTTCAGTGCATCATTTAAGGAACAGGAAAATCTACTCCCGTCCCCAAGAAACTTGGCCCGACTTCCACAGATCTACTTCTGAATACACTTAGCTGATGGCAAGACGACCTTCACACACATTTCTTACAAGCAGAGACCTGGTGGCCAGCTGCGCACAGCTGCTTGCAGCAGCGCCAAGTGAAGAGTGCAGTTCTGCTAAATCTAAAAAGCTGCATCATGAATGGAGGCTGCATGAACATGAAAACAACAGAGGATCAAGACCCGTCCATCTGCCTGTCAGATCTGGCATCTCATGAGGCAAACAGAAGACTCGAGCCCTTTAGTCCACTTCTGCTTGCCTCCCCAGCAGTCCTCAGCGTCCTCCTGGCAGGGCTGTCAGGTCACATTTGGCAGCACGTCACTGCTGCCATTTTGCAGCTCCCGGAGCAGCCAGGCCAGCTGCAGCCAGTCAGCGTGTACGCGATGTACCGGCTTGCAGTACCTGCTGCACCTCTCCCCCGGGGGAAGAAAGAACTTCTCCGGAAGGAATGATGGTGCTCATAGAGCTCGAGGGGTCAGCGCGTGTGAAACCTCACCCCGCAGCTCCCACCTCACAACCTGACACACAGCCGAGCCCCATCCCCAGGCCTGCCCCATGAGCCTTGTGCCCTGTGTTCACATGGGTCTGCAGGAAGGCGCTTTCTCTTCAAAAGCCATGAAACCACAACAAATCTGGCTGGAAGCACACTTTACCCCTTTTAATTTTTACACTTTGCAGTTTCCTAGCCTAGCCCGACAGAGAAGCCATCAGATGTGTCCCTTGGGATGTCTTTCCTGTAAGCACCCAGTTTTAGAGACACAAGAGTCATAGCCAAGATTCTGGCAAACAAATTCCTGGCCACGAATCCAAAGAAAACTCTCTTTAATGGCTTGCTATCACTAGTTCAAAACATATGCCATGCCTGCATTATTCTTGGCACAGTCTCCTCCTGCTACCATGATGCGCCCCACAATTTGCTCCATACGGCTGCAGAGCTGGAGCTCCAGCATGGCCAGAAGCCCTGGAAGGAAGCCTCCCGCTGAGTCAGGGACTGCTATACTCTTCTGTAATTACTGCAACAGGGTGGGGGTGGGAACAGTGAGTCACTGGAAACGCTATGGCAGATCAAGAACTACCTGTTATTTAAAACTACATGCTAGACGTTATCTCAGTATTTAGGAGAATTGTAACACATTTACTCATGCTTTTCATGCTTTTCAACAGCAGCTGCATCTGTACAGGTAAGTTACTCACCGCCACACTGCATGGACCTGACATTTCTTCACTTACATGGTAAAAGGTAGCAACGTGAAGAGGAGGGATGTACAAAAGAACAGGTAGGAGTATTTCAGGATGAGGGACTGGATATAAAACAGATACAGCTGTTTCTAAAGTCAGTGTTCTTTTTATAACCAAAAGGGTTATGACCCTGCATGCTTTTATTAAGGCAGTAGAAAGATTCAGGTGTATGACTGAGGTTTAGGGTTAGGGGCTAATTTTAGATGGCCTAAATCTGGCGCACCAGAGGATCCAGCCCCCACGCAGCCCAGGCCGGCTCACCTTGCTGCAGCCTCATTAACCCCGGCAGGGTTCAGCAAACGAAGCAAACAGGATTGGAGCCACGGAGCCAGCTGTGCAGCCTGCCTGCATGGCCCCCACAGGAGGCACCATGGCTACCAGCAACAGCACTCCCTCCATGCTCCCTAAGGGGCCAGCTGGTCCATAAGCAGTCCTCCAGGTCAGCCTGGCACAGGCAAAGCCATCCTCTTAGTACCTGAAAACCTGCCCATCAAAGAGAGGGTGGATGCATGGCCTATTTGGCCTGCTCCTTTTCCCAGAGCAAGCCAACTAGCTGGTCTCTGCTTCTGCCCACCAGAGTTGTGACTTCTGCTACTGCTGCCCAGGGAAGCATGCAGCGGGAGGAGTTAATGGTTACAGAAAAGGGTAGCCCCATCCAGTGGCAACTGGGGTCTGAAGAGAAATCAGGCCTGCAGAGGAGGTTCATTCCCATGATCAGATCAGATGGTGACAATGATGGGGAGAGAAAGACACGTATCTTCCTCCTATTCTCACCCTCTACTCCTTCTCCTATTCTTTCCCAACATTTCAAGATGCATTGTCCTCTCCCAGGCTCTCAAATCATCTTCCCAACTTTACTATCCTGGCAGAATTGACTTTTCCATACACTGCAGAGAAGCCGTGAAGTTCCACCTCAGTTGCTCCGAATTTTTATGGCTTACAGTTTGCTAGGCTTAGTCCCACAGACTGTCATTAGTTAACTATACATCCATTAGCTCTCTTTACAGTGACTTAAAATGCCTACTGTAATTACAAGTGAGTTGCCAACAGTTTAGGTTAAAAACAAAACACCTAGGATGTATGCGTCATGCAGGGGAAGAGGGAGTCACTGAAGAATGAGTTGTGGACAAAGAGGAAAAGACTATTCCATATTTGGTTATATTAATAATAGTGACCTGAAATAAAAGTAAATGGAAAGTCTCTGAAAAAAATGGACTCACATATAAATAAAGTACATTTCTGAGCACTAAGATCTTCCCTGTCATGCTCACAAACACAAATGACCGTTTTATCCCAAATAAAGCAAGAAACATATCACTGAAACCTGAATACAGCACCTAACTCCTCACAAAAACCTCCATGGAACAGCAACACGGGCTCCATGAGATGCTGTGGAATAAGGATAAACGTATCTCAGGGATGCTCTAACTTGGAGGAACATACTAGACTAAATTCTGCAGCAGCATAAATCAGTGGCAAGGCAGTGTCAAACTGGCCCCAGAGTGCATAAACACTCATGAACTGTAAAGACCAAAGATCCAAGTTTTTTTGCATACTTCTGTCAGCCACATACACGCACACACACACACAGAGCGATCATACTCCTTTTACATTGCACAGAATTTCCAGGAAATGGGACGTATTTCCTCAAATTGTATGCTGCTCAGCTTATAAGGAAGAACTGTTGGGAAGACTCATCCTTCCCTGGCTCTGACACTAACAGTGTTGATGCCATAGGATAAAGCATGACCAGAAAGTCTGAATGAATGTGAGCGAGCTATATGGGGTCAGTCCTAGGAGGGCGTAAACCACGGAGTCATCAGGACCACAGTTTGCTGAGTGCTCAGACCTGTCAACGTTTCCGTTTCCTTCATCTGCCTGCAGACAATTTTGCTGTGCCTCTGGGAGGTGACAAAGCTTTGTGCTTTCATGTAGCACTGAAATGTCTCAACACTATCCATAAGCAAGAGAACATTAGAGAGTGCTCAAAGCAGAAAGAGGAAGGGCTCAGGGGGGTGGGAAGGATAAGTACAAGCAGAAACACACGAAAGCAGTGGAGATTTTGAGCGAAATACGAAAAACACAACAAAAGCACTGGAGGAAGGAGTACAGAACTTGTCTGCCTCCAGGGCCTCCTGACACCACAGTGTCTGGAGTCTGGCTTTGAAAACGACTTCCTAACAGCAACTATCTGCTGTGCCTGCTTCTAGACAGGTACCCATTGCAAACCTTGATATTAGTGCCCTGAAGTGGAAACTATTAACTCCCTGAAGTAGGAGTGCGAGAGCAGCTGGGTGGGTGTCTGGCAGCCAGCCAAGGTCAAGCCACCACAGCTCCATAAAGGTATTAAAAATTGA